GATCGTCCAGAACCTGCGCTTCAACCTCCTTTCCGCCGCACAGCTCATGGACTGCGGCGTTGACTTTAGCACGGATCACGCAACGCGCGACATTCTGCTGCACTACGAATCGCGCACCTTTCCCCGCAGGCAGATCGGACGAGCACACTCCGAAAATGGAGTGTATGTCCTGGATTTCGACATCCCCGACTGCAGCGGCGACTCGCACGAGTTAATTGATCTCGTGCCACTGCGCTTCGAGCACATCCACCGCAGGGATTGGAAACACCCTGACGGCAGGCCGTGGGTGCCGCATCATCCCCACCCACGCGAAACTGCGCTGCACGACCCCGACCCAGACGGCATCTGCAGGGACTGTCGCACGCCGACAGCGTCAACCTACGCCATTGCCGGCCGCGGACTCGCCGCCATCGCCGAAGCAGAACGTCATGCGCCGCCAGAGGAAGGAATGTCTCAGCTCGAGCTTGAGGTCACTACTCGCCGCGTGTTTGGCGCCGACCAAAGCCCCCACACCGGACCACCTTCACAGCGGCTCGAAAGCATTCTGCGCGGACAACGCCGCGGAACCCTGGACTCACGCGGAGTCGCGCGCCCTTACACCCACGAAGAATTTCTGCAGGTGTACCCCCACTGTCGCGACCCAACGGCAAAGCTTACCGTGGAACAAGAGGAAGAACTGGCGCGCCGCGAAGCAGAGGAGCTTCGCCAACAAAGTCTCGCCGAAGCGCGCGGAACATTCGCTTGCGGCGCATGGGGAGCCGAAGCGGAAGAAAGCGCCTCCAATGAAGGGGGGTGGGGAAGCGCAGGCGGCTGGGGGGCGAGAAATACCGGCGGATGGGGAGACAACGGCGGAACCTGGGCCAACGCAAGCGGCGGATGGGGCGCCGCATCTGGCGCCGACAATAGCGGCTGGGGCACTTCCCGCAAAGAACGAAGGGGGGGAGAGGATGAAACAGAGGAAACTGACGCAACACCTGCAGTCGTTCCCCTTGGTCGTCCCCCGCGCCATATTCCACTCGCATTACCTCCTCCTGACAATCCTCCACGTCGCGACCCATGAGATACCATCGTCTGGGGCAACGAGCCGTCAACCCCGCGTCGCACCGTCTACGGACCTGCCCCTGAGCCACGCGAACCCACCTTCGTCCCTGGAACCATCCCTGGGACCAACATCCCGCTCTCTGAGATCCGCGACAGAGAGTTTCTGGCGCTGATGTTGACCACCGCGGCAGCAGGAGAAGATGCAGAGGAAGCAGCAGCAGAACCCGCTACCGTACCTGACGAAGACCCTGAGGAAGCTCGCGCGCGCTACATGCGCACCTCCGGCTTTCGCGCTGACGATGCACTCTGGCACCAGCGCCTCGGACATCCTTCACGCGCGACGCTGAAAAACTGCATCGACGCAGGTGTCTTCGCTCCTGGCGCACTCCTGCGCCCTGACGGCACTGAAGTGAGAGGCGCGACACACCCGCGCAACTGCACCGTCTGCCCCGAAGCTGCACTGAGCCACCAACCGTTCCCGCTGTTCGAGCCCGGGACGAATCGCTACCCCAAGCTACACAAGGTGTACAGCGACTTCCTGAACGTGGGGCACTGCGGAGTCGACGACGAAATGTACACGCTTACCTTCATCGACGCTGGAACGCGCTACGTGTGGGTCGTGAACGTCGAATCACGCGACAGAGCCTACGAGGTGTTCCGCCTCTGGCTAGCACATGCGCAGCGGCAATCTGGGGAGAAGCTAAAAATTTGGCAATCTGACGGCGCGGCAGAATTCAGGAGCAACCAGATGCAGACCTACTTGGCGCAAAAGGGGATCGAGCATCACATTTCTCTCCCCTACGCACATCAGCAGCAGGGCGTAGCTGAGCGGACGAACCGCACGCTGATGACGAAAGTGCGGGCACTGATGAAGCAGTCGAAATTGCCGCCGATCTACTGGACCTACGCAATGCACCACGCCGTGCGGGTGCATAACCTGCTTTCAACCACCGCCATCACCGGCAATTCGTCCCCACATGTCAAGTGGACCGGGACTAAGGGGGACACATCGATGCTCCGCGTGTGGGGGTGCATGGTGCAATACCGCCCGCCGACATCAACCATCGGCAAATTCGCCAGCCGCGCGCGCTGGGGAATTCACCTCGGCATCAGTCACGAGTACAAGGCGTGGATCGTGCTGGACCTTCTCAGTCAGAAAACCGCCCACGCTCGCGACGTAATCTTCTACGAACGCCTCTTCCTCGAGCAATTCCGCCACGACGAGGAGACGAACGCGAACCGCGTCTACGCAAATGACAGGCACAGCTATGCAACGCCCGAAGACGAAGCCGCTGCAGCAATTCTGGAGCAGGACACTAGGGGCGAGTTCACATGGGAAGATCGGCGCAGCAGCGACGACGACGACGATTCCTCGGGAGGAGGAATGGGCGGAACAGGCGGAAGCGGCAGAGGCGCAGCACCACCAGCGCCACCTGAACCTGAAAGCGATGACGACGATGTGCAGGAAGTCATCCCGCAACGTCGCCACGACAGCACCGTCTCAGGACTACAACTGCTCGGACTTCACACCGCAACCTCGAAAGCGCCACGTGTCATCGAGCCTCGAAACCCGCGCGAAGCTCTCACTGGACCGCACAGCAAAGAATGGCGCGAGGCGATGGACGCAGAGATTAAGGCGCTCGAATCCCGAGACACCTGGGTGTTAGTCGACCGTGCGGCAATCAAAGGCGCAAGGATCCTCTCGGGCAAGTGGGTCTTCCGCGTGAAGACCGCAGCGGATGGAACAATCGAGCGCTTCAAGGCGCGATGGGTGGTGCGCGGCTATGACCAGAGGCACGGCATCGACTTCGACCAGACGTTCGCTCCAGTCAGCCGCCACACCTCCGTTCGAATCCTGCTCGCCATCGCAGCTGCAAGGCACCTGCCACTCCGCCAGATCGACGTAAAGAACGCGTTACTGTACGCGTTAGTGGACGCGGTGATCTACGTAGAACAGCCGCACACATACGGCGAAGGGGACTCGCGCGTGTGTCAACTGCGCAAGTCGCTCTACGGGATCAAGCAGGCACCGAGGCTGTGGCAGCAGTATCTGCACAACATTCTACTTGAAATCGGGTTCAAGCAGATGCCCCACGATCCAGGAATGTACCGTCGCGATTTCCGCGGCGAATACATCCTCCTCACAGTTTACGTCGACGACTTGCTCTACACAGGCTCAAACAACGAGCTACTCGAGCAGTTCGAGAAGGCCTTGGCAGGGCGCATTGACATCACGTGCAACTACGAGGTGAAGCAGTTCTTAGGCCTCAACATTTCCTACGCTCCTAAGGCCATTCACCTCTCAGCGGCTAAGTACGCAGAGGAGTTAGGGAAGCGGTTCAACATTTCACCTGCACCCCTCTCAACTCCCTACCGAACCCCTGGACCGAACCACAAACCTGACAACAAAGCCCTATCCCCTGCTGGAGTTCAGACTTACCAGCAGCAGCTGGGATGCCTGCTCTTCGCCTCTGTCACCTGCAGGCCAGACCTCTCCTACATCGCAAGTCAGCTGGCCCAGTACTCACGCAAACCAACGGCTGAGAATCTTCTGGATCTGCAGCGCGCCCTGCAGTACTTCGTCTCAACGCCCAAGATTGGGCTATGCTACTCAACTACACCAACCCCATCCTTCAATCTCATCGGCTATGTGGACGCCGATCATGCAGCAGATCCCGACAATCGACGGTCCAGGACCGGCTTCCTGTTCCGACTCGAACCAACGGGACCAATCTCCTGGAATTCGCAGAAGCAGGAGTTGGTTGCCCTGTCGTCAGCCGAAGCGGAATTCATCGCAGCAACCGCAGCAGTTCGCGAAGGGCTTTACTTACAGGAACTTCTACAGGAGGCGAAAATTCCGGCTTCGCCCACCTTTCGTCTTCACTGTGACAACCAGAGCGCGATCCGCATCGCGAACAAACCTGGTTTCGTCAACCGCACCAAGCACATTGCGCTGCGGTATTTCTTCGTGAAGGACGAAGTGGACAAGGGCAAGGTCAACTTGACCTATTGCCCGACCGGTGACATGGCAGCGGACTTCCTCACGAAGCGACTGCCACGCCAGCAGTATCAGCACTGCTCCGAACTCAGCGGCGTGGTCAAGCAGGTCAAGTCGAGCTACGGCCAGGAGTGAAGGGGGGTGTTACGAATAGTAATACTCGAATATTACTGTGCACTCCTCACCGCAGCAAAGAGAAGCATGCAGTATCGAGAACGAACGCGAAGAGTCAGACGGTTAAGAATTGACTCGAAGCGTCAGACAGTTACAGCACATCTGGACCGTCGGAGCAGACGGCATCGGACAGCTGCAGGCAGGATGGTTTTGGCGGGAACAGTTTCGTAACTGTACGCACCGCACGGTTGGGAATGAATAAGGGAATGTACCCCTTAGAGTACATGGTTAGCTAGGACTTTTCGTATTCCCCTGTACTCTTACTTATATCGTTCTATTTGCATACTTTCATCATCTCAAGCATTTTACATTCACTCTGCTATTGAGGTCAAGGGCCCACCAACACTACCTTACTGCGTGCGAACCTTCCTGAGTAGATCCTGGTAGCGATCAACATTTGATCGTCGCAAATTCCATACATTCAAATGTTTCCAACACATGCATTAGAGAAAAATATAGAAAAGCGTATCCTAATCGTAAGAAGATTGCATGCTTGTGTTAAATTGCTGCTTTCTACATCCATTTTATAACTTATAAAATCAGGTAACACCGAGTCTTACAATATATAAAAAATGATAGTTACAAGCCTGCATATATATCATTGCACAAAATCTCATTGTTTTCATACTCCATCAGCAAATTATGTAATTACAAGACTCTTCGTTGTAACGAAGTCCTTTTTCGATGATACCGTATTGGAGGTCATCCCATGCTGGCTTGATTTTGGAAGGTACAAAATCATATGCGATTGACCTAATCCGCAGCAGAATCTCCACACAACACAGATATGGCAGCAGTCAAGGCTTTCCTTCTTCCCCTGGCTCTCTTATGTGAGTTCCTTTTCCTCGCGCTACTGTAACCTTAATTTGGAAACGACGAACCTGTTCTTACGTCGCGTTACTTTTGGCAGTGTTGTTTGTTTCTGCGCAAGGAGCACATGATGGCATTCCATGTCGTCGCTTTCCCCTCAATGTGATGATTCTTGAATTTGGTACTTGTGCTCGACATTGAAGACCTTTCAATCTCACAACTTCAAGCGTTTCAGGGATGCGACTTTTACTTCAACGGAAGTCTCAGTACTATTCCCAGCTTCAACATCGGAGCAGTTTCAGGGAACATGATTTTGTCGCATGCTAAAATATTTCACAGGTAACGGCTCTGTTTTGTCTCCGAAGGTCTTCAAAAGAATGGGTGACTGAGTTTACCGTTACCAACAGAAACGGCGAGAGGATCGTCACAGCATCTTCGGACCACTGCGAGTTTTTTAACGACACGGTACGTGCTACTCATTCTCGTACCTCGCGTTTGTTCCTTGTAAGGGTCTAACAAGTTGAGCTTCAGGAATCGTGCGGGACGACGTTTTTCTTCATGAGCGAGATTGACGACTGGAATAAAGCGGATGTTGTAGGAGCTCATCCTATTCCGTCAGAGATTATACATGTACGAATCTTCAGATGCGAATGTTGTGGAAGAGAAGCAAAGGATGGAAACATTCTGACATAACACTGCTGTGCAGGATTTCACAGGGAAATGCGTGATACTTCGTGTTAGCAACTTTTACGTGAGCAAGAGTGGTTGGATAAACAATGGCGACAACCGAAAAGGGTTTCCACAGGTTAGACTGAGTGATGCCGGTGGTTCACGCTGTTCAATATGTTTCTAGAATCTCATTCTCAATCTGCAGAGCCGAAGATGCCTCATTCTCAAGACGGGCAACGCCACAATATCCACAGAAGACTTCCAATGACCGAAGGGGTCTCAACGGGCAAGGACTTGCGGTACGGGTTCCTTGCGACCAGCGTGAGGGTCGAGATCAGTGAGGGATGGTTTACTTCGATGGAACATCACTTATGTGGCTTGCAGTACGATTTGGAGGAGTTAGATGAAGGGAATCTTTGCTTGTTGTGCAAATATTTTGAAAATAAGCTGATGCAACTCAACTTTGGACACATTTCAAAGAAGTGGTTGACACAAGAGTAACTACAGTATTCCTTGGATGGAACAATCCCAAGTTATGACCCACCACTGAGCAGGAAGCACCTGCTGTTGAAGGAGAAGTGCACTGAAGAGTTTTGGAAGGTTAATCCCAAGGGTGCATGCATGGTTGATGAGGGCATGTTTTTTTAGGCAGAGCTTCGATGCCTACCGTACATTACAGTGAGTGACTGATTATCCCTTAGGTGGTCCCTTAGGTCTCTACCATCATCCTGTGTCTGGTACACCTTGTTGGAAATAGTGAATCTTAAGCGCTTCAGTCGTGTCGAAACATCGCACCAGAAGCGAAGCAAGCTGTATCGAAACAAACGCGAGTCAACCTTCGGAGGTTGAGAAGTTGCCGGAGGTTACGCGAAAGTCAAAGGTCAAGCGACCTTTGACCTGACAAATACAGCGCGACAGTTAAGGACACACAACTGACTCGTTACAGAGCAGTTGCCCGAGTCGTACTGTATCGAACCGCAACAGCAACAGTAAAGTAGTTACAAACTGCATCCTTTCATATTCCTTGTATTATTATATAATCTTGTACTTCCTTGCTATAATCAATCTACTTTGCCCTCATATACCAGCGCAAGGTGGTTCACAAACTTTGTTAAACGCTTCCGCTATTACAACACTATCCCACCCAGAGTTCTCCCTTGAAAAGATCCTAAGGGGCTATCTCAGCCCAACATGGTATGAGAGCAAACAGGGGAAACTCTACTACCTTCAAATCATTACAAGACATGGCAACAAGCAAGGAAAGGAGCTCATCTAACGGCTCCCCAGGCACTACTCCTACTCCACCTCCTGCCTCTGGCCTGCAGACAGAGGAAGGCACGGCAACAAGACCAAGAATGACATCTACTGAGACTCCCGCAAATCACCCCGCGAACTTCGACCCGAGTATAATGGAGAAGTTCTTCTCCTTCATGTCCTTCTACGAGCAGCACCAGCAGTCGGGACCTGCACAATCACACAACAGCAACAACAACGGAGCGACACCCATGAGCCTCGACGGGTCGTCATATGCACGCGGAAACCAACAGCAGCAACCTACCTTCGCCCCGTACGAGCGCGGGTCGATCAGCTTCATGCCGCAATCTTCACCTGCACAAGACAAGCCACTGGACGCGTTACAAGTGCAATCACAGTTCGCGCACGTTCTAAAACTGCAGACATCAAGACCTTTCGACGGAAAGGACTTCTTTACTTGGTCATTCGAGTTTGAGTTAATGATGGAAGGCGCGCAGATACTCGGCTTCTTCGACGGGTCCCTGCAATATCCAGCAAACGGCACACAGTATGAGAAGCAGCAGTACACGTATCAATCGATGATGGCGTATACGATTCTGCTGAGGAACGTCACACCAACTCAGCAGCAGAACATACGCTCTTACCGGGGTTACGGCAACTCCGCTGAGCTCGCGTACAGCCACCTGAAGAGCCTGTATCAAGCAACAGACAGCGTAAACCAAAGCAAGTTAATGGCGCAGTTGACAACAGTTGAAATGAAACCGGGAGAAAAGGGGATGACGTATATCAGCCGATGTCGCGAACTGCGCGACAAGCTTCTTCGATGCGGAGGATCGATCTCCGAGGACGCCTTCGTGACAGTCATCATTGGTGGTCTCGGTCCCCAATGGCGCGCCACCAAAGCTATCCTCCGAGCCCACGGCAGAATTTCTGAAGCAGCACTCTGCGCCGAAATCCACGCCGAGCAGCAGGACATGGACCTGCAAGAAGAAAGACACAGAAAGAAGACAACAACACCAGAGTTCGCGTTTCACACTCAACGACGTCACAACAACTACAACAATCGACAGCAACAACCGAAGCCAGTACCTCCTTTCTGCCACATCTGCAAGACTTCAGGGCACCCGCGCACACATTGCCCAAACCGTCAACAGTCAACAACTCCGCAGCGGCATCTACGGCCTTCAAGCAATCAAGTTGCGTCAACACAGGCGAACCCGACGACTCAAATTCAAGCTTCAACGACCTCAACGGGACAACCTGCACAAGAAACAAGAAATATCGTTAGCTGCATGGCAAGACTGAGTGACTCTTGCGTCACGGAATCACCACCATACTACTCACCAGAAGAACAGCTCGATGAAACGACACCTCGCCGCGAAGCACTTCAACCGAATCCAACCTACGCAGCCATCGCCCAAAACGAGCCATCCGGAAAAGACACGTGGTTCTTGGACAGTTGCTGCGGGCAACACATGTGTTCTTCAGGACGCTTCGTGCAGCGAGAGTACCAGCTTCAACGGGAAGTTGTCATCACCGTCGCCAACAATCAGAACCTGCGCACACGACGACAAGGAGTTGTTCAACTTCAGTCACGAGAGACAAATGTTATTTTGCAGATGTCCAAGGTCCTAATCGCAGAGGGCTTGGGCTACAACTTACTGAGCGTCAGTCAGTTGATGGCGAAAGGCATTCATCTTGAAGCAGACAGCACAACTCAAGAGTTCAAGCTGTACCACGGAAGGGGAGGTCTCTACATCGGGAAGGCGGTCCTCAAGAACAACGTCTTCGTTCTCGACTTCGTTCCCGATCTTGGCACGGCCGACAGCGACGCCATCGTAAACTTCACCAACTGGACACATCCTCCAGATCTTGATCCAGACTTCAGTCCGAGCGGTTTCTGGTACTCGCACACCATTTCTGAAACAGAGAGAACAAGGGCGTTAGCGACAATTCAGCAGTCGGCAGCAGCAGAGACAACATCGGCAGCAGCAGAGACAACATCGGCAGCAGCACAGACAACATCAGGAGCAGGAGAAACAACATCGACAGCAGCACCGACAACAGCAGCAGCAGCAGAAACATTAACACCAGTCACTGGTCCCTCAACGGCACAGCCCTTCATCAACGAGACGCAGTAGACACCGGCACAGCAGCTCAACCCGGCACCACGGGAAGTTCACAGAAGCGCGAACATCATCGCCGGCTTCTACTCCAACTCCGACATGTACCGACGCTCGCCAGGACACCGCGCCAATGAAGAAACCTGGCACGCAAGAATGGGACACCCAAGCAACACAGTATTAAACAACACGATAAGAGCTGGAGTACTTGACAAGGATTCACTCTTACTGACCGACGGCAGAGAACTTCAGCGAGCTCGAGGAACGTGCTTCACCTGCCCCGAAGCTGACTTACCACATCAGCCCTTCGTTTCGCATCACAACCCAAGCGCACCTGCATATGCACCACTCGAGAAAGTGTACAGCGACATCTTGTACAACCGCGAACCCGGACAAAACGCGTATAACTACACCATCACCTTCATCGACGCCGCTACACGTTACGTCTGGCACCTAAACTTACCAAGTCGCGACATGGCTTTCGAGGCTTTCGTGGCATGGCTTCCAGCAGCAGAACGGGAATCGGGAGCTAAGCTCAAAAATTTCCAATCAGACGGAGGAGGAGAATACTCGTCACAGCGGTTCAAGCAGTATCTGGCGGAGAAAGGAATCAAGAGACTCATCTCCCTTCCCTACGCCCATCAACAGCAGGGTGTAGCAGAAAGGATGAACAGGACTCTGCAGAACACCATGCGCAAACTGTTACGTGGCATGCGGCTACCCAACCACCAGTGGCCCGAGGCAATGGACCACGCCGTGATGCTGCACAACTTGCTTTCTTCGTCGTCACTCCCGAACAACACATCACCGCATCTGCTGTGGACAGGGAAACTGGGCAGCACAAAAATGTTACGAGTCTTCGGCTGCATGGTACAGTACCGACCCCCATCTGCACGAGCCGGCCGATTCTCCCAACGGGCACAGTGGGGACTACACCTGGGCATCGAAAAACATTACAACGCGTGGAAAATCTTCGACATCCACACCAAGGAAACAGTAGCAGCACGTGATGTCATTTTCTACGAGCGGCTCACACTGCCAACATACCTTGCCAACCTGGACGAAAATCGAGACCCCACAGGTGGCTTCCGTGGCGATCGAGCCTTCGCTTCGGCAGGAGACGAAGCTGACTGGGACGAGCAGAACGTGGAAGGAGCCTCGGAAGAAGCCGGACCTCTCCCCTACTGCTCAGTGGACGTACCGATGGACGAAGATAACCCTCGCGAAAGCGTCAACGCCGAAACCTACTACCACTTCGCCGACAACGGTTACGTAACACCTGCTGAAGTCAACACCAACGAAGCAGAACGCATAGGGCCCAACTTCGCACCTGATCCAGAAGCTGGAGACGAGGCAGTCTATCCCAAGGACACCACACTGTCAAACATTGCATGTTTATATTGTCTAGGCTGTAGTGGGTTACACCTTAGGGGGTACACAAAGTTAGGGTTTCCTACTTGTACCAAACTCTGTTCTAGTTCATTCATTCCTGCTCAGTTATTTCTGACATGGTTTCAGAGCAGGTCCTTCGCTAGGACTGTTCTTAGGGCCCACCGACTTACCTACCTGCTTACCTTCGCTTGTTTCCGGCCCCGATGGCCCCGTCGATCTAGCACGATCTAGCGGCCCTGCGGCCCCTTCGAATTTTTTTTTCCTAGCGGCCTCTCACGGCCCCCGTCGCGTCGCCCCTTAGCGCCCCGATCGGCCCCGTCACGCCGCCCGCGAACCGCACAGCGCGCCGCGCTCACAGCCCGCGAACCGCCCACGCACAGCCCGCGAACCGCCTGCGCAGCCCGCGACCAGCCCGCGCAGCCCGCGCACAGCCCGCGAACTGCCCGCGAGCAGCCCGCGACCTGCCCGCGAACCCCCGCGAGCCGCCCGCGACCCGCTT